CCCCTCCCGCCCCGCCCCCGCCCGCGGTCTGCTTCCCCCCGTTCCTGTCACTTGTGACAGGATGAGGAGAAACGCCTTTACCAGGAACTCGGGGCTGTTTTTGTCTAAATGTGGATCCTGGGCTATTAAAAAGGAGCTGCTGACGCCCCGACACTTAATAAGTCGGTCGGAGTCTGTCCGTTTCGGGGGAGCCGCCGCGTCCGGGGGCCGCTCTGGGGACCCGAGCGGCCCGCAGCGCCCGAGCCCGGGTCCCGGGAGGGTCCCCGGGCGGGTCCCCGGGCGGGCGGGGCCGGACCCGCACCCCCGCCGGACCCCGCGCCGGGACGGGCTGTCGCCAAACCGAGCGGGCGGACCGGGCCCTGCTCCCCGGCTCGGGAGCGCCCGCAGGAGGGCACTGGCCTGCAGGGGCTGGTCTTTAGGAAAGTTCGGTTCCCGGGGTGTAGCCAGGCACATTTGCGAGAGTTCAGCAATCTGCCGCCTTTAATTTTGTTCCGGTGAAATGTATTTTCAATCCATTGCGCACTTTCCCATTTCATGGGCGCTTTCTGAGCAAGAGCTGGCCGCCCTCCAAGCCGGCGATCCGGCGGGGAAAGGTGTTGCGAGGGCGGCGCCAGGGGCGAGGCGTGGCAGGCACGGGGCCTCCGCCGCGCGCGCTCGCACAATGGGGCGCAGAAGGCACGTGCGCCCAGGCTGCCAGCCCGGCCTGCGGGACCTGCTGGGGAACCCTCCTTCCTCCTCTCCATCTTCCTCCTCTCCACCTTCCTCCTCTCCATCTTCCTCCTCTCCTTCCTCCTCTCCATCTTCCTCCTCTCTTTCCTCCTCTCCTTCTTCCTCCTCTCCATCTTCCTCCTCTCCATCTTCCTCCTCTCCATCTTCCTCCTCCCCATCTTCCTCCTCTCCATCTTCCTCCTCTCCATCTTCCTCCTCTCCACCTTCCTCTTCTCCTTCTTCCTCCTCTCCATCTTCCTCCTCTCCATCTTCCTCCTCTCCACCTTCCTCCTCTCCACCTTCCTCCTCTCCATCTTCCTCCTCTCCTTCTTCCTCCTCTCCATCTTCGCCTCCACCGCTGCGCACCCGCCCCTGCCGCAGGTCCGTTTCCGCGGGAAGAAAGTGCGGGGCAGGTGGGGGCGGGCCCGGGGCAGAGATGGGGTGTCAGACCGCCCCCCTTGGGGGTCTGGTTATCTCTGCTCCGTTTGAAAGCAAACGGTTTGATTTCACAGAAGAGTTTTTTTTCCGCCAAGCAACATGACTGAAATGTGAACGTTTCTGCTAAAATACACCCAGGAAAAGTAAAATTTCATGTCAGACAGATTTAGGCAGATAAAATGAGGTATTTCTCCTTTCTCCCGTTCCCCTTTCCAAGTACAAGGAGAAATGTAAGTTCCTCCTTGCAAGAGCGACGCCTGCTGACAGCACGCTCCCGGCGCCCCGCCCCACGGTTCCCAGGTAAGAGAAACGCGTCAAGATTTTATTTTTGTAAAATATTTTGGTGTGAAATAGTTTTTGGAAAAAATCTTGCGATGGTTAAAAAGTAAAACCCTGTCTCAAAAAAAAAAAAAAAAAAAAAGGAAAACAAGAAATTAGCCCAATCACACATTACTTTAAATTTCCATGGACTCTCTTCAAATAGTGTTTTACAAAATTAAAAGCTACATTTTTTTTTCTAAAAAATACCAGTAGGATCTACCCTACCACCCCCCTATGCAAATCCTACCAACCAAGGCAGACTTGCTAGTATTATAATCAATGTTACCCTTTTTTCTTTTGCAGTTTTTAGTGGGACGGACAAACGGATTCCTTGAGCGACCTTTCTGCCACGCGCTTCGGCCCAACCCTAGACACTGGCCGAGCAAAGCCACAGAACTGGTCCTGGCTGGCGTTTGGACTCATGAGATCTGACAATTAAGGGCCAGACCTTTCATTCATCCATTTTTGCAAAGTTCTCTGCTAAGATCACTAAGGCACTAAGGTGCCCCGCCTTTTAATGAACAATTTGTGCAGACTTTCAAAAGCCTGCTTGAAAGAGTGAACCGATTTATTCATCTGTACCGAGCTTTCTGGTCAATGACATTGTCAGCGTGAACTCCTGGGACTCTCCAGCCCCCAGAGGCCTGTGTTCAGCATCCTCCGGGCAAGCGCCGGGACTGGGCGCGGGACCCCCTCAGGCCTGCCCTGTGCGGGGATCTGCGTGTCCCACCCGCGTCTGAGAACAAGCCGTGGACACAGCCCGCGCCTTCGCACCTGCGACTCCAGGGCCGCGGGGTTCCACGCAGTCAGCGCGCCCGGACGGTTCCCGCCGCGCCCACGGGCCAAGGCGAAGCGAAGCCGGGGCCAGCTCGTCCTGAAGTCGGGCTGACGAATCGCTTGGTCTCTCTGCTGCTTTCTGTGTAAGGAGAGGTAGTTGGGCTGGATTAGATGGTCCGAAATCTAAAACTGTATGATTCTGGGATTGTTGCCAAAAAAGTTTGAGACAAGAAAATGCAATGTTTCCTACAAAAAGTTGAATATAATTCACTTGTAGTCGTCACTATGATTTTCACCATCTATTTTCAGGCAAGAAGAGGTGATATATTCATATTAAATAATTTGATTTTCCTTCTTTACTAAGTGAACAAGTTTGTAGTGTCAAGGGTGCAAGAAGCCAAAAAGATAAGAGACAAAATTAGCAGCAAACTGTATTCTAGGATTACTGACAAAAACTAACGTATTTCGCTAGATTTGATTTAGTTTGGTCTTTTTGAGAAAACTATATTGAATCACAGGAAGAAAACGGAGCAGAGAGAAAAAAAATTGAATTTAGTCTACATTCTGTACTGTGTATTGATGTCATGAGGTAGGCAAGCTATTTTTTCAATTTATAAACAGTATAAAATTCCAGTGTTTCAACTGCAATCATTTTTCTCTTCTCCCCAAAAGGTACGTATTTAATTTTAGACAAATATTAACTGGCTGCAAAGACTTCTAAAATAAATATATATCAACAACATGTTTTAAAGTGAATCATCATACTGTTCGATCATTATGTTAATCTGGGAAGGTTTCACCATCCTCGATGCCATTGAGGACGTTCACGATTCGTGGCAGGAGATCAAGATATCAACATTAACAGGAGTCTGGAAGCAGTGGATTCCCACCTTCTCTGGTGACTTTGAGGGGTTCAAGCCTTCAGTGGAGGAAGCCACCGCAGATGTGGTGGAAACAGCAAGAGAACTCGAACTGGAAGTGGGGCCTGAAGATGTGGCTGAATCTCATGACAAAATTCTTAACAGATGAGGACTTGCTTCTCATGGACGAGCAAAGAAAGTGGTTTCTTGAGGTGACATCCACTCCTGGAGAAGATGCTGTCGGCACTGCTGTACTGACAACCAAGGATCTGGAATATTCCGTAAACTTAGTTGATAAAGCAGCAGCAGGTTTCGAGAGGATCAACTCCAATTTTGACAGAAGTTCTTTGGTGGGTATCAAAGAGCATCATGATACGCTACAGAGAAATCTTTTGTGGAAGGAAGGGTCGATGGATGGGGCAAACTTCACTGTTGTCTGATTGTCAGGAGTTGTCCCGGCCTTTGGCCACCACCACCCGGATCAGTCCACAGCCGTCAGCATCGAGGTGAGACCCTCCAGCAGCAACAAGGTTACTACTGGGTGAAGGCTCAGGTGACCATTAGCATCTGTTAGCAATAAAGTGTTTTCTAATTAAGGCTGTACATTTTTTCGACACAATACTACGGCACACTTAATGGACTATGGTATAGTGTAAACCAACTGTTATATGCACTGGGGTACCAAAAAATTCACATGATCTGCAATAAAGCAATATTCACTTTATTCTGGTGGTCTGGAACCAAACCCGCAATACCCCCAAGGTATGCCTGTATGTTGTTTTTATTTCATTTGTAATCAGTACTACATGTTTTCGAAACACATTCAGAAATTACCAAATTAGGAATAATAGTGATCAATTCTTACAGTGTTACATTAAAATTCGAATGATACCTTGCTCAAGTAGGGCTTTGGCAGGTGGCAATGGGTGGTTATTGTTTTCCCCAGAGCAGGAACACGAAAAGAGATTCCGTCTTTAAAAGGAACACTTTGTTTTCTAGCCTGCATTTTTAAATTGCTATAATTTTACTAAGATT